AAACTAAGTTATATCAGACAGTACTCTGCAAAAGAAAATCACAATTATTTCATCATTAATTTGGTTGCAATTACTTTTATAATAATTTAATTAATTTTAATTATATAATAAATGATAAAAATTAATTATAATTAAATTTTTCAGTAGGCTTGTTTATTATTGTAACTATATAATATGAAATATATATACTTATTTATTTTATTATAATATTTATAGGTTAGAAATTTGTTTACAATTAATATACTATAGTTGTGAATAGATAATAGACAAACCAATAGTGTTATTAAGTTGTAGTCTTCTTAGTAAAATACAGTGATTGACTATTGTAAATATATATGGAGTAGAAGTATAGTTGTTTACTTAACTATATAGCAGCAGGCAAATAGTTTGAGATAATAACAGTATATAAGATAGATAGTTTTATTTAATACAAGAATGATAATAAGCCTTGCTTGTAGGAATTACTTTAGAGGAAGAATATCACACTTTACAAAATAAAAAGAGTTAAAAAATTTTTTTTTCAGTGTTAAGGTGAGGTTATACCTCTTGTATCTTTTATTAATTCTTAAATTTGTATACTACTATACAACCTTGTTGCTCACTTATGCATCTATTAACCAAACTAATTTTTCGAATACGGAGCTCAGATTACTTTATCTGTGATCTAAATCTACTAGAGTATTCCGTATCCCACCTCTGTATTACCTGGTTTTTGTACTTCACAACTAACTAATTCTAGTTACACAACTATATTCTCTCTATAACCCACAATCAAACCTCAGTGACTCCCAATTTGGTTCATTTGGGTAATCAGCCCCTAAAGGCCTCCCAGATTGGTGTGCCTGCCGAGAGCCTCTCATGCATATATCTCAAGCCAGGTCTTTGCTGCCTAGTTAGGTTCACCACATGACAAAGTTGGTACTACTAACGGATTAGAACTTATCTTGGGTTTGCGCCAACTGAGTTATACCGGTTTGCATTCCTTCATTTCTATAAATGCCTAATCCTTCCACTCATTTGCTCAGATACTACTAACCCGTATCTAAAGCCAGAGACCTGCTGCCACTGCCAGTTTGCCATCCACAGGTCTTTTATCATCTCTTTTTTGGTCTTTCATGTGCTTGTATACTTTTCTATCCCCTTTATACTCCCTTTTATGGTATTCGTTAGGAACTTGTTTCATATATAGTAACTGATATACTTTCAGCCATTGGCCTTCGTTATGCATAAAGTTAAAGGATATTAGAGTCTAAGTAAAGTGTAAAAACTTAAGAATTAGCAGAAAGAGGAAAAAGGCACCCTTTATATATATATATATTTTTTTCACTTAGCCAAGATCGTGCCAGTGATCGATGTTTAATAAAGTCTCAATCTCGTGAAAAATTACAAGTATATCACTATAATATTAAAGCTATGATCCTGACATCCTATGGCTGCTTCAAAAAGTGCCTATTAGCAACCTGCTGCATTAGCGAGATAAAATCAAAAGGTATTATCCTAACCGGAGGCCTTGTCTGACTCACCACCCTACAATAGGATACCACAATCTGATGATATCTTCTTGTAGAGAAGTAAAAAGAAAAAGAAAAACTATATATATAAAAAAACACAGAGGTATGAGAGAATATGATAAAAGATACAAACAAGAAAATAAAAAAGTAAGGGGAAAGAAAAATATAAGATATTTCACCCATATCGAATGGTCATAATTATAAGCCTGCATTGGGCTTTGTAAAAATTACATACTACTATCTAAACTAGTCTCTACTCTAATTTAACTTATTAGTATATTTAAGCAAAAACCTAAATGAAAAAAAAGCTCTTTGACGTCAGTACTGTACTCTAACACTATAAGCTCTCCAGCTTCTTTTGTTTAAACTCCCATAGAAGCATAAACAAAAGTGCGCTTCAGGCACTATAGAGAAGTTAAAAATTCATACAGTTGGTCTCGAAGCATTGTTTGTTTGGGTTGCCACTTCAGAGGCACATAATCCAGATGTTCATGTTCTATTTGAATCCATGTGTTTGTTGTGACAGGTAAAAAGTAAACAATGCTGACCAATTTGATAAGTAAACAATATGTCGATCTTTTGAAGAGAGTAAGCTAAATTGTCCACTTTTTTACAAAATTTTCACTGAAAAAAAAGTAAAGAGTCAACGAGAATATGTAAGGTTCTTCTTGTAGGTTTTGCAGTTATATAGTTCAGTTTTCAAGTATTTACTTAATATTCTTGCCCAGAGACTTTGCTCTACTTGCTTCTAGAATAAATCTTCTAGTTTGGATGCTGAACATGTGAGGGAGTTCATCGAAAAGAAAAAAACTTGACCCAAAGCACAAACCCGCCTAATATTCTTATATGCCCGCTCCTTGGTGTTTCACATATTGTAAACTTCGTCAACAACAAGTTTGCTTAACACAAAACCAAAAATATTGCTATGTCTACTATGTCGCTTTCCTATATCGCTAATTGTAGTTTAGTAAATTGTTGTTAACCAAGTGATCGTTAAAAAGAGTCGCTTGAAAAAAAATGTTTTTGTTTATATATCTTTTTACCTACAAGAAAAATACACAATATATAGTAAATGAGTGATACTTGGCAGGTAAAGAAAGGAAACTTGTGTAGAAGAAGTAGGTGATTATATTGGGTAAAGAAGATAATTGTACTAAATGAAGTAGAGGAAATATAAATATTATTCATCATGTTTATATTTATTTATATCTCATATAGAGAAATTAGAGGACTTTGTTATATAGTATTTTGTGTTTAAAACATTTAAGACTTGTATAAGAGAATTAGATGTTTATACAATAGAAAAAGATATTCGTGTAGTAGAAGAAAGTGAGCTTGTATTACTTCTTCATGTAATATCTTTGTATAACTCAATGTATCTTTTGTATAACCTTGTATTATATTGAGTTATATGACTGTACTACACTTCTATCAGCCAATCAGAATATTGCTATACAATTACTATAAAATATACTATTTAAATATATAATAACTAAAGAGTGTAGCAACTTAGTGAAGTTGGTAAGTTGTCACACCTCCAAGCAGCAGGACAAGAGTTCGAATCCCACTGGCAACAAAATTCAGAATTTATAGAATACATTATAGTATACTGTATACATTCTGAAGAGTGATAGCACCTGTAACCTTGGTTATACCAGCTTGTTCTGAGAGGTTGTGTAATATATGAGTTATGCAACTATGTAAATCTACAGCTTAGGCTTATAGCACATAGAAGCTTGCTTAGCAAGTCCCGAATAAAGAGGTAGCACAAATCTTCGACAGTATTATGTAAAGGACAATTATCAGCAATAAGACACCAACAGTAAAATTAAACAAGAACTGGATATTTGGCAAGACACTAATACCAACCAGGCAACAAGTATACAGGAATGAGCCCTGTATAAATAAGGAAAAAGGATTCAATCGAAATACTAAGAAAATGCCTACTGGTCTTTTCCCAGGCCATCTGAATTGGGAGTTTGGGGTGCTGTTGGTGAAGAAAAGTCAGTAATAGTCTATAAAGTGTATGCTGGATTTTGGGTGAACACTGCAAGAACAGAAGTAGGTAATGATAGCGGCTTTGGCTCGCAAGTACTTGTTCTCAGACTTGGCATAAGTTATCGAAGTCTAGGTTAGCCAGATTGTGGGTATGGAAAGCTCTAGCTAATGACATCTCAAGGAGGTATAGTATAGAAAGTCAAACATGTATATCTCATTGTATATACTCTCCACCCCATATAGAGATATCTGAATACAGATTTGATGCCTAAGGTACACATGTCCAACTTTTCAGTATATTTTTAGATATAGTATTACTGACGTATATCGATATTCCATATACATATGTAGGCTATTATTGCTACTATCATTGTCATAATTTGCTCTGATTTTACAACTCTTTTAGTAAATTTATAACAAACTTATACATTCTATTCAACTTCTTTATATTTCAATTTTTTTTATTTTTCAATTTCAATTTCTATATTTAATTTTTTTTGTATTTTTTGCTATAAGTTAAAGCTAATTTATTAAAACTTTTTATATACTCTTTACAAATCAAGAAATAATTGAAGTACTTTACGTATAGCATATTTAAAGTTATTCAGAGCCTTATTTAAAAATCTTTAGGTTGGTTTGAATAATACCTAGAGATATTATATAAAAAGTGAAGTACTATACAGGTATCTTATAAGATCTATGAAGTACTTTTCAAAAACTACTAGCATTTATAGTTAAATAGTACCCTGATTCTTTAGAAAGAGAATAGTTTACTGAGATATAGCAGTATAATATAGTACTATTCAAGTAAATTTTATAAGTGATTTGATTTATTTATTTATTTTTTAACTCAAACTATTTGTTATATTTATTTTGTCATTTAAAGCAGTTTCAATATCCTTTTATAATTTATGAATCTTTAATTATCAAATACAATATCGATATATTGTTATATATAGCTACTTGATCAAATAATGTTTATGATACTAATAGATTATTATACTTTATTAGATTTATTTGTAGTATGATCATCGTTATATTATTCACCATCAGAAAAGTATAGAATTAAAACCTCTAATATTTTTGTTTCATTCAAAAAAGAACTAGAAAGGTAATCATCTGTTGCTATATGAACTATAGACTTTTTGTGTTAATGAGTAAGAGAAGAGTATTTAAATTTTTTATGCTAAGAAAGAAAGGCCATGATGGGAATGTACTAATGACAGATTGAACAAACTAATTGTGAATAGAGTTCAGAAGAAATAGAAGGGCAATGTTGATCGTAATCTGGAATTTTTAACTTGTCCACATACTGAAGTATATGAATAGGATTAAGAAAATGACCATCTCAGCCTTTGATAGATAGTGGTAAAAATCTATTATTTTCAACTAACAAGGCAGCTGCCTCTTTAGCTCTTCACATAGAACAACAATTAACATCATTATATTTTCGAATGTCTAAAGAGTATCGATATATTTGGCAGTAGTTTTCTATTTAGCCCAAGATACATATAAAATAAAAAGGTCGATTTGTTCATCAACATATTCAACAATTACTTCTTTATTATGAATATAGTCTTGTTACCAAATATTATATAGCCTTTTACCAGCATAATGAAAATTTTGCTTTGCAAGATTTGTATTTTCAATAATGCCATTAGAATTAAAATGAGAGCCAAAATGATCAATAGGTAGGACAATACCTGCCAACTTTTCTAAGAAAGTAGACATACTACGCTCTACAGGATTGTAGACAGATTGTCTAGGGATATGAGTTTGATAGTAAAATAATCTAAATTTAATTCTATAAATAATTTACAGTATTTTTTTATATTTTTTAGATGCCTGGGGTTCTCGTTAGGGCCACTGTCAACAATCAAAACCAAAATTGGTTTGAATTCATTTTCTAACTTTAACTTATTATTTAAAACAGGATTTTTTCATCATAAGTATTATGTTGATCATATAAATTAAAGAGGAATTACGAGCAACTATTGTGGGCGGATAAAAATTGACAATTGACCATTACATAATGAGTTATTTGAATCTTTCAGATTGATTGTAAGGTAAACAGATGGTATTAATTTTTGTTTGCTTCCTTGGGAAAAATCATTATCTATTTAAAAAAAAAAATTAAAACAAAGCTAAATAAGGCTATACAAAATTTAATTAATTGGTTTTTATAATCCGGCTGGATCACAATTATAAAAATTTTTTAAAAAAGCCTGCTGAGTCTATTTAAAAGGTTTATATTATGAAAACCAGGCAATTAAATTGTATAGCCTAAATAATTATATAATGTTGAACCTTCCAAACCAATATACATAGTGACAGGTTTTATATCGGTATTAAGAACTTATCAGATTTGAAAAACATTATGAATTATTGTATTTATAATAAGAAACAGATATGGTGAACTAAAATTTGACAGATTATCAGTTTGACAGGATCGATTTTGGATGGTTCAACAGTATTTACTTTTATATAATTATCAGATATCTCAACTGGTTTATAAGCAGATTGTATAGTTTTAAATGTTCTTCCAACTGCTAGTATTCTAAGTAGAACTTTTGCCTTATCATCCTGTAATATAATCACAGAATAAAAGGCAAAAGCACTAGCAAATTGTTTTGCATTTTTGACTAGTTGCAAACAATAGTGTCTATCTATATGTTTAGGCATTTCATTTTTAGATACTGAGTTAACTTGGATAGCTATAGGGTGGTAGTATCTTTTGGCGTTTGAAGAGTTAATTCGTCTGGGCTAAGTGTATGTATATAAATAGGTGTGTAACATGTAAACTTGATATTTTTCTTCCATTTCTGTTTTTAAATAAGAAATGGTACGCATTTTAATGATCTCTTTTCATCTTTTTTTTGACAGCATTACCGAATTCGATGCACAAATGTATTTGCTCAGAAAGATTAAGATTTAAAAGAAGAAAGAAGAGGCGCCTAGGTGAATCGTATCTGATAACTTCTCCTCTGTTTTCTAAAGCTTCACATTTTTTTACTTGACTTTTGGCTTGTGCAGCAGCATAGTTCTTTAATTTTTGTCTTTTTTTTTTCAGCTTCAATTTCTTGCTTAGTTTCATTAATTTCAACTAAAAAATCTTGATGCTATTTAGAATCATACACAAAATTATATAACTTATTTAACTTATGAAGCTTATCTTCAGCATATTTTTATTTAGCCAAAGAAGTTTTTTGAGCAGTTGCATTATAGTGTAGTTTTTTAGATTCTATTATAAAGGATATGAATAATCTCATTTGATATAACAGGATGTAATATAGGCATGAAAAATACATATTGAATAGGTTGCAAAAATGTTTAAAATAATTGATTATTTTATTTTCTATAGTTTCTTTATCCAAAATTCATACAGTCTTTCACTCTTCTTGAGCTTTTATAAAAATATCTAGTTTTTTAGAAGATGGAGTTCTTATAGAAATGGTCAAATAATATATATACACATTGCAAAAATTTTTATATAAGTTTGTAGGGTTTTTGAATATTAATTTTTTATCAAATTTTGGAATACTTAAGAATGTTTGCATTTTATTTTTTAATTGTTTTTTAATACATTTCAGATGTATTTATAATTTCTCAAAATTTTTTGTTGTTTGAATATCAGGATGACAAGAATGTTCTTACACCAAATTCTCTAGATATAGATATATAGATTTGTTTTTTTTTTGTATATTCATTTGTCTACTTATTGTTATCACTATGTTGAGTTGTTCATGAATTTGATATTTTATAACTAATTATATCTTTATTGATGCAGTCGAACTTGGTAGAACCAATTTTATCGATTTTATTAATGTATATATTTAAAAATACACAATTATATGATTTTAAAAAGCTGATTATATGGATAAGTGTTTATGAATTTTTATTTATTATTGCTTATCTTTAAACGTTATTATTGTAATATTGATCTGTGAATTAGTTAAACTAGATTTGTTAGTAAAGAATAGTTTTAAAAATTATATCATACTGATTTTATATTTTTTCAGCAGTACTGTATTGTATTTATACTCTGGTCACTATATCAAGACCGCAGAGTATAAATCAGTTATACTCTGGGCACTATGTATATAAGTGAAAATTTTATTTTCAATGCTCAGGATAAAACTATTAGGGTGTCTACACAAATTACTTAATCTAGTCATATAGAAAATATTATTTTAGTTTAGTGATTTATATTTCTAATTAGCAGTATTGATGACTAAACCAATAAAAGGTTTTTTACCTTACTATATTAAGCGGTTATTATAGTCCATACTCCAAATTTATTTATACATATAGTGCTGTTGAAGAAAGCTTATATTTTAGCTGATCAGTATAGTTTTAAAATTGGTATACAGAATACACTGATGTGCTGTAATTTCATGAAATATAATCTTTCACAGCATTTACTCAAAGCTTAATCATTTACTATAATAAGTTTTTTTTCATCTATTTTTTGTCTAAAAGTTCAAATACTGAGATAATTCAAATAATTATCAGACTAAGCAACTTTGATTAATGATGTGTCTTTACATAAAATTGTTAAGAGGACAGAGACAATAAAACTGGATTATTGATAATTTTATACTTCAATTCTGCCAACAGGCATTAGCGTCATATGTATCAACCATATTAATAAATTATATAGTTTACATACATCATTTAAATTGTAGATATTTGTTTAAACGAGAAAATATGAGCAGCAGTCAAAAGAATTATCCAGTTTATACGAAGCTATTATAAAATTTTATTAATGTCATGGGTTCAAAAATAACAACCTTTTTGTCTGGTTTAGATTGGCAATTAGTTCATATTCAATACAATATAAACCTAAAACTAAATCACAATTATCTCGAAATTAGATATATGCAGATCTCTCATTTTTATTAAACGCACTCGTATATTGCTTTTTATTTTTGTAGACTAGCAAAATATTATAATTTATATACAATGTATTTATAATTTAAATTCTGTTATCAGATATGCAAAGCTTATCTAATGCTAATGATACTTTAGATTAACAATTATAAATTTAATATGTAGACAAATGTTTAATTTGCTGAAATATTTACAATTAAATAGCATTATGCATTAATAGATATAGGAATCATATGAAAATATGCAGGTGTATATATGCAAAATTGATTTATAATATCTATATCTATATATAATATGTATTATGAATTTGAATTTTCAATATACAGTATATATTATATGTTAGGAATGGAATTATTGTAGATTTAGAATCTATCTAGGTTGATTCCTAATAAACTTAGGTTATAATAGAATTTTAAAATGTGATCAAGTAGTTAAAGAATTCTAATTCTACAACAAAATTAAGTAAATTCTAAATTATTTCATCGAGTCCACTGTTTTGGAATTTAAATCACTTCAGGAAAGAGTTATTCATAACATAGCACATTGCCAATTAATTAAATTTAAAAGCATTGCACTAAGTTTTACTTCTTGATTAGTGGAATGACAACCATATACATATATACGTATATACGTATTTTCACAGAGTTCATTTATTTTTTAACATTTTCAACTATTTTGTCACACGTATTTTGCAATTGCATATGAGATTTGCATAATAAACGCTTCTTAAAAGCTTATGAGTATTGAAGAAATAATTTCAAACTCTGAAAACTTGTCATGACCCAATAAATACAAATAGGTCTGAGTCAAATTTAATAAGCTGCATTTCAAAATTATGTATTGCAAATGCATTTTTACCCAATAATGATCTTTTGCATTCCCAATTATTATATTTACTAGATTTTATAAAACTTTAATACAAAAATTAAAGTTTTCATATATTATAAAGGCTTTAAGTTGCCTATTAGCTGATTTATTACTAAGATATGTGAAAAGCAAATTTTCAAATACATTACAAGATAAAAATGATAACCTTGAGATTTGGCTATCAAATAGAGAAGATTGTAAAAAATAAAAAGTAAAATTAGGAAAAAAATAATAATAAAGATTTATATTTGAGTGTCGCTAAAAGAAAACTCAACAATTTATATATAAGTCATTTTTAAATTATTAGATTTTTTTTTAGCAACACTTATTTATCTGGACAATTTATTATAATATATATCAACTGACTACCAAAATGCAAATCTTATTGTAAAATGCCAGAGATTTCTGTATATATGTGCCAATTTCTGGCCCAATTTTTTAACAGACAGAAAATTTCTATTCTTAATTATATATTAATATAATAAACTTTCACTATGATATCATATATACGTACGTACTATATACAAATTCTATATATGTATATTTAATGTTAACTCTTTTTAGAAAAAAATTTGAACTGATAGATCATAGTAAAAGTAGTCAAGATGAAAACAACCAAAATGATGATACAATTGTTCAAGACAATTATGAAAATTACCATAAAAATGAACAAGCAAATTATAAAAGTGATCAAAGTAATCAAAGTGATCTAGTAGTATCTTTGTCTAATCATGCAAAAAAGTTGAAAATTACAAAACCTAAATTAAAATTTCAAAATTTATGGCTTTCTGAATTTAATTAGCTTCAATATAATAAAATTTTTCAACGAATGTTTTGCAAATATTGTACTATATTGGCTGATTTGCGGAATTTTAAATTAGAGTATATTTTTTTTAAAATTTTAATATCAAATAACTTTTTATAAATTAGTTTATTTAAAATAATTTTGCTATTAAAATATTCTTCTCTTTAA